CTAGCAAAACAAAACAAAACAAAACAAAAATCCTGCCACGCTCTAATTAAAATACTTTTATCGCTCAGCTAAACACTCGTGGACAGTAAGTAACAAAACTAACGTATGCAACATTCACGCTGGTTTTTACTAAAGCTTTCTAGCGTTTATAACTTTCTGCCCAGCCGAAAAAAGATGTAGTTCATGCATCAAGGAAGCATTGTCAAATTTTAGAAATTAAACAAATACGGATACACAGACGAAATTAAACACGAAGACAGAACTATCATTATAGTCCGCTACCAGTTCATCAAAATGGAAAAATGCTCACAGGATCGTATGCCAGCAATCCAATACAAAGATGAATCCTTGTGGCCGATAAGCAAACCGCGAGGGCAAAGAATACAGTCGAACTGTGAATGTTTATGACAGAACAGGTTCACAAACCACAGTCAACATACTAAGTTAAAATTTGCAAATTGAATAACCACCATTGGTGTAAAGTACGTTCAACTTAAACTCAGAAGATTGTCAATATGAAACTAACTTGTACATCAGATGAAGCTCTGGTTAACGCTACAAATACAAAACAATGGTACAGTCACTATAGGGGGGGACACCGTCTAATGTCAAAATGGTCAAGGATTGCAACAAAAAACAACAATCCCTGCCATTACATTCTGTACCACTCACTACCAGTTACAAAGTAAGCAAGCAAACATACACACGCTAATAAAACATGGAATCATCTTTACTGATCGAAAACTATTTACACGGTATCATCACACAACACCTCAAAAACAAGTGGGAGACGCATCATCTACTCTAACTATGAATGTTTAATTTCACATGTTATCTGCACACTCTACAATATCATCCCCACCACCACCATCATCAGCTTTCCGAGAGACTCTATTAGTTTTCCTAAGTCTTACCGTGCTCCGGTGACCGAGCTTCTCAATCTCTGGAGGTTTCACAAGCATCAGTTTGGACATGACGTAGGATAAAAGCTCGTCCCTATGCGAAAATGTGAAGTCAAGATGAGCGTATTCAAACACGTTATAGGAAGCCTCAACACCGGCTCTCTTCATGAGTCTATAGTGCTTTCTCACCATAGAGGGCCTTATAACCTTGTCCTTCCTCCCAGCTACAAGATCAACAGGAATATCGATGAGGTTGTAGTGCTGGCCCAAGTCCAATGGCTCTGGTGACCCATATGCCTCCATATTAGCAGCCGGGCTTCCATAATCATACATTATGAACTTTTTTGCGCTCTTAATCTGTGCTAGGTGAAGCGCTACGTGTATTGAAACTCCGGGCATATCATACATGTTATAGTGAGGCATACCAAGAACCCCGACCCAGTTTGAACTGTCACCACCTACAAGATAGCCCATCAGGGTCTGAACCAGGCCTCCCAAAGCTGGGTAGTTCTGAAAGTCTCTGGCTAATTTGTTTAGGAGAATTCTAAAGAACCTCGTCGGGATGTAGAGTCCTGGCACAATTGGTGCGAGAAAAGGACCAAACAGAAGTACAAGCCGCTCTATACACGTGAACACTAAATTAGAATCTTCGTGAAAACCTGCAGGGGATAATAGAATCAATCTTGAAAGCCTGTGGGGCTTCTCTGCGAGCCTACGGGTTATAAGGTACATCAGCATCACTGCCCCTCCCAGGCTGTGACAGACGACACAAAGTTTGTAGGGCTGGTCACAATCTTCGTCTGCTGCATTAAGTTGGCAGTTTCCTTTTAGTTCAGAAGTTTTGATCTCGTGTATCTTCTCTATTACTGCAGGTATATCCTGTGTGCCATGCTCGTTGATGGAGTATCTCCAGTACCTGAATTGAATTGACATCAATGATGTCAAGCAAAGCCATAGGTTTAAGCATTGCTAGATAAAGTATTACAAGTTCGTGAAGCCAAGTGAAATCTTTTAAGCATATGTACGTATTGGGTGCCTTGGTTGCTCTTAGGACATAGCCAACTTAATTGATGCTCATACTAGGCACCATTACATTGGCAATCATCTCTTGAGGAATGGCAGTGATGATCGACTTGAAGAGAGTTGTTGACATCATCGAACAACAAAAGCTGAAGACGAAATTGGGTTTGCTGGCATAGGGTGAATGATAACCTCGTGAACAGTACCCACGACAATGCTGTGACCAGTACTGTAAAGAGCAACTTCTTTTTTAAAATTTGGAATTTTTGTGGAGAGGATGGATGGCTATAATTTTAAAGGAAGAGATGAATCTAGAACTAATAACAAAGTTGATAAATTTGGCTCTAGAACATTGGCACATGCTTATTTGACTAGAAAATCACATGGTAAACTCCATAACTTTATTTCTCAATTCTACGTGCTTACAATGAAAATATATAACCCTTTATATATATTAAATCCTACATCTACTGAAACTTCAAATTTTAGAACTAGAAATTAAAAACCAAATGTTCTAATCCTACTACAATTCAAAATTAAAAAAACTCTATCCTAGAATTAAAATTCAAATCAAATAACTAAACTTTAAATCTAATATCGCCTTTATCTACCTTAACAATTTTTCCACTGAATCAGAACTTTTAAACAAACTTTATTCGAACTTCAAACTGTTCTTCATCAAACTTCACTAGTTTTTTGTTTTAATCAACTACTGCAAGAGGACTATAAATGGAAAATGGTCTTTTCACATTCACTTAGTAGATATCATGAGTAGAGCCATTTCATTAACTCTCTGTTTCATTCGTTATGCCTTCATTCCCTAAAATATCCATTAACTGGGAAAAAATCAGGTAATTTACAGATTACTAACAGTGAGATCACAAAATCTTTCTAGTTATATATTGTTTTTTTCCCATGATACCATCATCTAAATTTGATACTACTTGATGCTAGGTTAACAATGCCTCGTGTATTTATTTTTCCCTTGATAAATCTTTAAAGAGGTCACATAATCTTTCTTCTTTGTTTTTTCCATGATATCATCACCTAATTTTGCTACTACTTGATGCTTGGTTAGCAATGCCTCGTGTATTTTTTCCCTTGATAAATCTTTGAAGAGGTGTAACCAAATTGAAAAAACTTGACGATCTAATTTATAACAAGTAATGGCAAATTGTGCATTGTGTGCGTATGAAGACAAAAAAATACAGCAAACCTCTCACGATGCAATACTAAAATTATACTTGTTGACTACGCTCACGAACATCAAAATCTTTCTTTTGTAACATGAAAGGATTCTGTTTTCTGATTATTATATGTTGAAGTTGTTGAAATAGAAGAAAAAGTAATATGCATGTCTGAGAGAGAATTTGTAAATCACGTACTCTGATCCAATTAATTTTATTCATAGAAAAGGCATAAAAAGCTTCATGTTGGTACAATAATGCACATAAAAATAATTGGATGAAAATTTCATCCTACCCGTGAGCATTAAAGTAGAAGAAAAAATTGACAACGAAAGTTCAATCAAATGCCCAAGATATCAAAAAGAGAATGGAAACATGGTTGTGAGATGATCAAAGTAGTTGGGAGTCGGGCTAGAGGCTGGTTATGGAGTATGGCAGGAGAAAAAGAAAAAGGATAAGAAAATTCAAATTGAAAATACTGCATAATACTCAATTTATTTTATGACATCACTGTCAATTAAGGGGCGTCTCTTTCAGACATCAGTACTTCTTTCAGATACTGATCGTTTCTTTTGGACGTTGGACTTCTTTCCGGGGAAAAAAATAAAGGGATTGGTTCTACTTTAATGCCATCAATAGCAAAGTTATTACCAAAAGTAAATATACTCATCGGTCTAGACTAGCCTATCAACTAGCACCAGCTTTCTCTGTAAATACTCGAAACTCTGCTTGAATATTACAATACGATAGATTAAAAAATAATATACAAGGGGAAAAGACAAAATATGATAAAGCATTGACCATGGCTACTTTATTAAAAGGTAGTATGATATGGGATGGATCATAATAAGAGTGGCTTGTTCCGGGTTGCTACTAACAAATCAACTCTTTTCTGATGTTATAACCTAGTAGGTTTGGGCCGCGTGACTGGCTAAGTTATATAGGAGATGATTAGCCTCGGTCAGGATTCTAGAGCATATCAATGACACATTTCGGCCAGAAAAAGGGGAAATTATGACAAGAACCCAGCACAATCACATTTCTTCTTCCCCTATCTTCTCAGCATGTACCCAATCACAGGCCGGATGGTTGCACAAGACCCTGAAGAAGACTGTTGAGGGCATGGGTGACAGTAGTGACAATTTAGGTATGGACAGATTTGATTGTCAACATCTGGCCACGAGGAAATCAAACTTTATATTTCTGCTATAAAAAACTAAAGACTAATCGAATGATTTAGAAAAGTGTAAAGCCTGTTACGCTTGATTTAGGATTAGGGCTGAAATGATAAATTGGAGACTTTTTTTTCATGTTTGCATTTTTTCATTCCCACAGCGATGAGCAGTGGAAATTTTTCTTTACATTTCTTGTATGACATATTCATTGTCTTTGTTGCGAACAATTGACAATATAAAATGCACATTTGATTTAGAACAAAGTAAATCTAGTGTAAGTGGGATGCTACTGGTATAATGATACAACTAAATTTATACCTAGTATATTTTCTATAGCTGGTTGCTACAATAGGGTGGAAGTATCTGGTTGTTACAAACTTCTGATATATCTACAAATTTATGATGGATTTGAAAGCCACATCAAGAACAAATTGTAGTTTTTTATTAAATCTTATATACGATAAAGTATTGTGTAATTGATTAGCCCTGTCACTGAGTATCTGCTATCCATGATGCTTTGAAACCTTGCATCTCCATGTATTTGTATTGCAGCTATACGATAGTTATAACCATAACTGGGCAACATTGACTAATGCCTCCACATATATGTATCCATCCGTCTCTCCTGACACACACACGCACACTCACACACTCACACAAGACAAAAATAATAATCATTTAAAGGAATCCCATAACCAGCCAGAAATAAGAAAATTAAATAAAAATGGAAGTAAAGAAATAAACGATAGAATAACAGCTACAAAGCCTTCATCTCAAATATCTAGGTGCATCCCTGAAAGGAAAAAAAGGAAAGGAAAAAAGTGTTAATATTCTACTAATGTGTGCATCTGGATTCCCACTAGATAACCAACAACAACAATCTCCCACACCTAGTCACCTATTTTCCGTAGGCTGCGGATTGTTATAAATAATAAAATGTAGTTTAAAAGGGGGGGAAAGTAAATCAAAATTTTGTGTCAGAAACAAAACAAATTTTGATTTTTCTAATGAGCAAAAAAGATAAGTTGCAATGATGAAACGGACTGATAACACAGAATTCATAGGGATCAGTTGAAATGATGAAACAGGCTGAGAACATAGAATCCATTCCCAGTCCATTTGTCACCTATAATGAATTATCTCTGTGTGGGTGCAGGAGCGGGCGCAGGCACCTGTCTGGATGTGTGTGTGTGTGTGCGTGAGCGCTCTCACACACAGATTAAAAAGACCTAGAACACAGAATCCATTACTGATCAGCTTGTCGACTACAATTCCACAAAAACAATATGGAAGCACTGAGACCCTAGCTTTCAATAAACCGAACCACTTCAATGTTCCCCAGGGTTCTACAACTGAAGTGGATTCTACTCCTTAACAACGTCTAGGACAAAAACTGCAGCCTACACACCTCCTCAGAAACTTAAGCCCAAATGAATCATGCCATTGCTGGGCCTGTTTGGTTATTTCCCAAAAAACCGAAAAATGGAAATGAAAAGCAAGAAATCTCAAAAAGTACAATCACACATTTCCATCCCTAAAACTCACCCACAACATCTAATAAAATATTATTTTTATCCAACAACTCATCCACCACATCTAATAAAATATTATTTTCATCCAACAACCCATCCATCACATCCACCACATCTAATAAAATATTATTTTCATCAACAACATCACTCAACTCATCTCATCTCATATTTAAAAATCACCCACATCATCCAATAAGATTGTGACAACTCATCTCATCTCATTAGCATTTCATTTCTTTGTTTTCATCCCAAAAAGTTGTGAAAACGCTTTTCTTAATCTTGGATCACATCACCCAATAATATAATGACAGCTCATCTCATCTCATCTATTTTCTTATTTTTAAGAAAGAACCAAACAAACTTTTTTAAGAAATTGGTTTCTTATAATTCATTTCCTTATTTTTTTTCGCCAACCAAACAACATCAAAACAAGTTTTCATAAAAAATCACTCACATCACCCTATAATAAGGTGACAACTCATCTCCATTTCTTTGATTTCTTCTTTTTTTTAGAAAACCAAACACTCCCAAAACAATTCTTTGATTTAATAGTTTTCCATTTCTTTGATTTCCCTTTTTTTGGGGCAAACAAACAGGCCCTAAGTCTCCCAGATGATTCTACATGCCAATTATGAAATATTGTAACACAAAAGCCATAATGTTAAATGACAAACTATCAAGATTGAATACTTACTTCCGCGACGAAATATTCTTGTCTATATGCTCCCTTGAGACTAATCCACGTAAATTTCCAAGGAAAACATCAAAACCTGCCAAAAATTGGCAACTTATTGAATATGAATAAATATTATAAATAAAAATATATGCCTTATTTGATTATTTTTATTAGAACCAACCTTGGTCATAGGCTGCAAATGCAGGTGACCCAACAACACCATTAGAAACCCAACTGACAGATGCAAAAACAGGAATATTAGAATACATACATGATATATTGCATCATAAATACTCATGCCTACAGAAGGTGATGGAACATGAAGACAAATTTCATTAAGAAGGCCAAAATATATGCCATGGTTTTACATCAGAATCCAAAGTAAAAACAGTTTGGTCTTCGTCAGTGGTCTGCAAGTACTATCTGAAACTGAACTTTGACTTGTGTCCAACAGTTACAACTTACAAAACCAGATTCCCAACCATTTTAAAGACCCTAAGAGATCACAACTTTATACCGACTAGTAGTCAGGTATATCCTTCGAACTCGTCATTTGGAGAAGAGAAACTTTCAGAAACTAAAAAAGCCAGAGTAAATATGTGCTACGCAACACAGATAATTCTATTTTTGTACCACGCGGTGTAACACGTGTCAGACAAATGTAGCTAATGACACCTCATACCAAGTAATACTATTCATATGTACTATCCTAGAACTTGTACATCTGTTCATTGTTTTGTGGCCATATCAGTTTAACCAAGCTTCTTAGTACAATTCAAACAAAAAATTCGGACGTTTGCAGGATGTTTGCTACAGCCTAAATCTCTATATAGGAATTTCTCAACAAATTCCCCCACTTGACTCAAATGGGAAAAGCAACAAAGGAAAATTATGTGCATGGTTTAATTTGAGCATGTAAGAAGTCAATAGTTTCAATGTGGAGAAAAATGAATTGAAGCTCAGAACCACATTCAGATGTCATGGAGTCATAGTCGACTAAATGACAATAACCAGGTACAACCTACATAAAATGTACTTTTCAAAGAATCTTTGTTGAGTATACCAAGAGAACGAACCTAAAGGATGACTTGGAAAAGGAGCATTCTTGTAGAATACACTGTCATTTCAAGCAATGGCTTCAGGATGTGGGGTCATGGGATTCACCCCATCTACGTGGCAACAAGCTACAAGCATACTGCTGAAGGACTTGCAAAACATAATCACATAGTCACCTTGAAGAGTTTGGACTTAAACATGTCACAACGTCACTTGCACACATAACATAACCAATCTACATACTGTTATATATTCCACTTTCTTAGCCCAATCACACAGCAGTAGAGTTGCTTATTTCAACCTAGTGAGATCGAGGATGTGGTCTGTTCGTTTTCTCGGACCCAACCACGGTAACACTTTTCCATTAACGGTTTTTTGCATACATACCTCTCAAATTTCAATATTTGCAAATATATCCCTCAAATCTAGGTATTTGCAACTTACCCCCCCCCCCCACACACACACACACACACACTCACACACACCCACACCCACACCCACACCCACAAGAACCCAAAAAAAATTATTCCATCTTGGATAAAACGAAAAGTGTTGTTTATTTCAACCTAGTGAGATCAAGCATGTGGTCTGTTTGTTTTTTTGGACCCAACCACGGTAACACTTTTCCATTAATGATGTTTTGCATACATGCCTCTCAAATTTCAATATTTGCAAATATATCCCTCAAATCTTAAAAAAAAATCTTCTATGTTGGATAAAACTTCCCCTCATACACCATTTGGGTATATACCCATTATATTCCTTCTTTGCCATTAAATTAATATTTATAATCATATAATGACTAAAACACCCTTACATTGATTAATTAGGGTTAATTACTCCATTTCAGTTCCTCCCCATAATCATAAATCCCCTTTTCTTCTTCCCCAAAAGCCCTCCCTCCCACGCTCCTGTATTACAAGAAAAACAAACTCAAAAATATATCAATACCCATTACTTTATAACCAGTCAGTAGAAATCCTTCCTAGTTTTTATTGCTTCCCCTTCCCTCCTTTTATATATCTCAGTTCCAAAATAAAAAACTTAGAACATATGTGTTGTGCCCTAACTTCAGATTTGCTCCGAAAAAAAAGAAAGATTTCTACTGATTTGCTCCAAAATTCAGATTTGATTTGTGTTTCAAAACCAAAGCTGTAGTCTTTCATTCTACGAACCATCAAATCCACAGCATTTGCTTCTCTTTCACACTAATCCAGTCTCTAAAATTATTTGTACTAGGAAGAAGCATGTTCCAACTTACTATTAAAAAGAGCATCTCTCTTCTTCTTCCTTGAAATACGCAACTTGCTCGTTTTTCCTTTTCATCATCATCATCAAATCTCTTAAATCCCAGCCCATCTGATTAAGGGTTATAAAGGTTATTACTCCCTTCTCCCATTTTAAACTTAACATTGTCAAGTGGGAGGGGTATAAGAACCCAATCTTAGACAATTGTGGAGTAAATTTCTATCTATATTTGAGGGGTATATTTGCAAATATGAAAGATTTGAGGGATATATACGCAAATAACTCTTCCATTAAATGGTGTTGGCTATACTGCAGAACTCTATACAGAAGGCCATTCAAATAGTTGATGAACATCTAAAACTAGTTGTCAACCTAAGATCAAGCTTCTTATTTGCACCAAAGTGCTAGAACAGGGAAAGTACAGACAAGAAAAGAGTCTTCCCAGCAAACTCAAAAAATAGCAAGTAGGAAACCTATTTATTGGTTTTATAGTTGGACCTCATGCAAAAGGAGCAACCCTTCAAAGATTTTCTCATGCTAAGAAAAAACCATAAGAAGGGGACATGATACTGTTATAAGAAATAGGATAATAAAAGAGTGCATATCCAAAAGGTAAGAGATAGCTTCCACTGAAAATAAAATGAGTGAGCTGTGCAATGCAAGGGTAGAGGTAGCTAATAGAGGGTGGTGTTAAATGACACCACTAACTTTGCACTTATATACCCTCGATTGTTTTTTTAGCATTTGTATAATCTAAGTTGTGCAAAATTGGCGTGTTAGTACATTCCATTATCCAAACATGGGAATTTTCACCAAATATTACCATGTAACATCCACAATTCACATGCTAATTTTATAACTTTTTAACTATTACTGCTTGTCAAATTTGATGTTAACTCTATCCAAATTCTATTCTTAATATAGAATCGGAATACGTTTAAATAAGAACTTGGGAAGGGTTAATTGTGAATTTAACAAATATTAATGGTTAAAAAGCTCTAAAAACTAACATATGAATGTTATTTGGGAGTTTCGGATGAAGATACAAATGTGTGCGTAATAGAGGGCACTAACATGCCAATCTTGAAGACTTTTCTGCCAAATCGAATGGGAGATCAGTGATGAACAACGACTTAGTAATTTATGTTGAAAAAGATGTATTTAGTTTTACTTCAAATGAGGACATAATGCAACGATTTCAAAACATGAGAATGAAGGATCAATTGTAACTGTATTTAATTAAATATATCTTTTGCATCCCATTAAAGTTCATGATTATATTGAATATGAGAGAAAAATTAGTGATATCGTGTTTTTTATATATATTGTGACACCGCTATTATGAATTCCAGGCTCCGCCAATGGTGCAACGAAGGCCAATAGGAAGCCACAAAAAGATACTGAGTGTTAATATAATTGAGATAATGCTTAAGAGAGATAAAAGGAAGAGCTGAATTCACATAGGATCTGTTAGTTCAACAAAAATGACCTTAAGAGAAATGAAAGGAAGAAATGGATGATGTCGTTTGTAACTCGATATGGAATAAGATCCGTACATTATTGCTGATGTTGATTACATGTGTCTACTCTTAACAAGAAAAAGGAGAAAGAACACATAAAAATAAGATAACGTTGTCAAATTTAATATTGAAACATTTGATGCATGAAGATAGAGGTACAGCAATATGACAATACAATATGATTAGAAGAATAAGACAATACCTTCAAAAAATAGTATACAACAAGTTCAGGATATGTAACATGGTGTTTGCTCCTTACCTTTAACATCAATTATTAACAATAAAACAGCAAAATAAGACATCACGGCTGGGATGTTCAAATAGTAAATTTGATGAAACAATCTTTTAACACTTCAATTTAAAAAAAATGTTAACTGCACAAATAAATCCAAAAGTGAAAAGTTGTGAAGCCTGTGATTGTTGCATTAGATTTTTCAATTGTACAAAAAAGAAGCAATATTACTTAATCATGTAATAAAGAAAAAGAAGTAATAGTCCTTAATCATGAATTAATAACAATAAAACAGCAAAATAAGAAAATCACAGCCGGGATGTCCAAACAATAAATTTTGCTGAAACAACCCGTAACACTTTAGTTTAAAGAATTGTGAACTATACAAATAAATTCAAAGTGAAGTTGTGAAGCCTGTGATTGTTGCACTAGATTTTCAATTGTATAAATAAAAAGAAGCAAGAGTACCTAATCATGTAATAAAGAAAAAGAAGTAATAATCCTCAATCATGTAAACAGTCCTTCCCTCACTAAATCCTCATAGTTAATTTTATTAATAAACTCCAGATAGAAGGCATGTTGAAATAGATCTCGTTCCACAAAGAAGAAGCATGTTGATAATGCTTCCCTTTATTTTTAACTGATTTAGTATCTTTCCACACTATGTAAAGCATCAAACACAAATTTCCAAACTTGTACAAACAAGAGTCCAAAAGAGAAGAACTCATTCCACAAAGAACCCACTTTCTTAAAAATCTTTTAGAGGTAAACAACATATGATCCTTACCCCATAGATGAATCCATTATTCCATGCTGTAGATATGCAACCTTTTTTGAATCACGCCTGTTAGAAATGCAACATTATAATAATAAGATGCTTGCATGAAGACAACAAACTAGTGTTTGAAACAAACTAACCTTGGGATTCTCTCCAGAAGCAGCACATATCCATCAGAAGTGACCACACGAATGGCCTCATAAGGATACCTAGAAGAAAGTTCAAATAAGTTTCAGAATGCCATTAATGCAATTATAATATGCAGAGTACCCACTTGCTCATGAGTACATATAATATAATAAGGCCAGTTGTCTTCGGCGTCTATCCAAC